ACTTCATTTGAATTAACAGTACCCAGTGAATAACGACTACCCGAAACAGTTTTTGCCATTTTCAACCAAAAACTGGAGTCTGAAATGGTGTTTGCTTTTTAGTTGACTAACAACATGTGGCCAAGCAATAATACTGACGCTTTCCCAAGGACACTCTTCTGGTTCTGAACTTTCTTCCTTGCAAAAACAAGTCCAAGGGATGCCCTGGGAATCCACTTACCCGATCCTTCATCCTCCAGCTCTGAGCTAGGGATTTGGAGCCTTCAATTTTCTCACAGTGTCTTTTTTTCATAAAAGCCAAAGGCAGATTCCAGTCTGTAAGGTCGGCCTCATCTTCCTCCCCGAGTCCCAAAAGGGGCGACTGCAGCATCTCGGACTCCATCAGCGGGGGAGGGGGTGGTGGAGTCCTTGGCAGTAAGCGCTCGAGAACCTCCAGCCTTGAATACTAGCGAGTACCAGAATTAATGAAATAAAATATAAAAAAAAAGGGGAGCCGAAAAGTAATGGAAGTGTTCGGAGACCCTTATCTCTTAACTCTGCACGGGAAGTCGGAGAGGAGTGGGAAGAGCGGATGGGAAATAGGGCAGCCCAGGGAGCTCCGCACAGAAAGAAACACGCACACCCAGATCCCCAGCCACGGGCTGCTTCTAAGGCTGTCTGTTTTTAGTAGGGCTGCGAGTGGAGCTGTCAAAAGCGTGAGAGACTTCGGGCCTCACGATGACCCCGCTCTCGGCCTCCAACGCCTGAGCAGATCAGAGGACAGTCAGGCCGCCCGCTCTGGTGCCAATTCGCCGCCTGCGCCGACTGCACTGAGGTCTCCGGCCAAGGGAACAGAGCGCCTCGGTCTCGTCCGGCCACCCTCAACCCTGCGGGTCCCGCACTCGCCTCAGGTGCTGCAACCAGAGCCAGCACCAGCCCATCGTGCTCGCCCGCAGCCTGTTCCTCAGCCCCGGGTCCGCGCGGCCTCGCTGGTCCTGTTCTTCGGCCCCGTAGCTCCTTTCTGCCTGAGAATGAGCCCCGAGGCACGGGCGGCACGGACGTGCGGAGAAAAAGGGTAATGTAGTCTTATTGGGTTAGGGGAGTTTTGCCCTTAGGTTTGGAGCTACAGTGAACTCCTCTCATCAGCACATCAAGGAGGACGCCATACTACCAAGGCCCAGCATGCTCCGCGATCTACGGTGCGGCCAACAAGCCAAAACTTTTCGAGCATTCTGGCCGAGCTTCCCAGGCTATAATAGAGTGCAAGAAGTCCCCGCCCCTGTTGCCCTGGTGACCGCGGTCTATTTTTTTTCAACCCATACCGCCTGTCTCTCAATCAGCTTCGTGTTACCAAAGTCTGAGGCCAAAACTATGTCCACTTAGTTATTTCTTTTAAAAAGATTTTTGCTGCTACAAATGGAGCTACATGCTTCTAAATGAAAGAAATCGACCACATTGTTTCTTCCAGGTTTTGAAAAGACTGCAAAAACTTCAGAAAGAACCATTGATAATATCACAAAAGATTGGCGGTTTGGGTGGTTTTGATTGGCTTTGGGGGCACATAGTATCCTCCACAGTGTCAAGCAGATTTTCGTTGTAATTTTTCCATAGAACACCAAGTAGAAAAGAAAAAAAAACTCAACTGTAAGTTTTTGTTTAATCCATCTTATTTTCTGATCGGTTTCCTCTTAATTTAATACAGCTTCCTGTGCAAAGAAAGTTGTAGATCTCTATGCACGGAGGCAAGCCTGCATTACTTCATTTGTCTATTTCAAATCAATAAATTTTACCTACTGATGATATGTGGATTACTGAGTTAGTACAGTGGTAGAGCTGTAGCTAGCAAAGACGAGACCCTGAGTTGGACCCTCACACACACAAGCACACAAAACTCAGGAAAGAAAGAAAAAAAGATCTGAATGTGGTATGCAGTGCCTGCCAATGAAACACACATGTAGCCATTAAAGAGAGCAGAGGTAGACAAAGAAATCCAGGCTTTTTTGCCCTCTCTGCCTTCAGGCTTTGATGCCAGTGAAGTCTTGGCTATATTATTTTCCGTCTCTGTTACCTTAGACAATCTCTTAACTAGCTCAGTCTTAGTTCCTAAACTATAAAATTTGGATAATACTACCCATTTGGAAGAATAGAATTAACTTGTGAAGGTGCCTACGTGCTCAATAGGTGCTCACTGAATGTTAGCCTCAAAAGATCTGTGGCTACTGCAGCCTAGCATCCTTGTCCCTCATTGATCTAAAGCCTCAGATTGGTCCCCACCAGATACGATCTCTTGCAGGTGGTTTCCCAGGGTTGGACACAATATGGTAGTCCATATCCAAATGGCGTCATCTATGTTCCTTTCAACCTGAGACTGATGCAGCATTCCAGATCTTTCTCACCTACCACATAGCAAGTGTTTAATAAAAGTTGTTGGGTCAATTATCATTCCAAATATCTATATTGTTATTATATTCCACTGAGTTTATGGAGTGATCCACCATGGAGCTGGACCTGAATCACTGGAAGGGACTTTGGAGGGAATATTGTTTCCTGTCCTGAGATCTGGCTGGTTTTATACAATCATCCTCCCACTGAAAGTCAGGCCAATGCAACAGAACACTGAAGAGATTAACTTTCTCTTTCCCAACTATCTGTTGGCAGAGAACAGCCCCATACTTACTAGCAGAGAGTCTTTGGGGCTGCATGGAATCAAGAATACCCCTTTTTCCCCTGATGGCATCAGAATAACTCCTGCCTCTGCTTTGTCACCTGCCCTTCTCTTGTAGCCCTGAAGCAGGTACCAGTGTAAGCAAAGGTTCTCCTCCAACCCTAGACTCCACATAGCTCTACTCCAGGCACTCTTGCAGAAAGCCGCAGCTACAGAAAAGCAAGAGCATTAAGCCTTTTCATTCCTGACCAGCTCTATGATTTGGAAAACCCATTTCATTTCTATATTCTATCCTTTTTGTTGTTTTGTTTTGTTTTTGTTTTTGTTTTTTGAGACAGGGTCTCACTATGTAGGGCAGGCTGACCTTGAACTCAGTTATGTAGCCCAAGGTGGCCTCGAACTCAGGACAATCCTCCTGCATCAGCCTCCCAAGTGCTGGGATTACAGGCATGCAACACCAAGGCCAGTTCTATGCTTTCTTGTAAAGAATCCTTGGGGATTCTACTTACCTCATGGGATATTCTAAAAGGTAATAAGTGAGTCCATTGAAATCCAAACCCAGCAGATAGTCAGAATCAACCAGAAAACTATTTTAAAATACAGATACCCAGATTCCACCCTAGACCTGCTGAATCAGAAGGAGCAGGAAGACAGAGGTTCAGGGTCTGCGTCTTTATTAAAGTAACCCTGATGATTACATAAAACCAGCCAGATTTGGAGACAGGAATCTATATTCTGTCCAACATCCTACCCAAAATGATTCAGATCCAGCCCCATGGTGGGACCTCCATAAACATTCACACTGAATAAATAAATGCAATGAAGCAACTGTCCAAACTTTCATCTAACAGAATAAAACAAGCTTTACCCTCTCCAAGAACTGCAGACCAAAGCCACCCTCTGCTGTTTCACAGATGTGACCCAGAACCGAAAGGGCTATTGGGTCTATGCCTTGGACTGAGGATAGGGACACGCACATATACGCACATACACATTCCCAGCCCACACCCATTTCTGTAGACATCAAAACCTGTGCTCTTCTTTGCCCTCAGTCTCCACAACTGTGACACAAAGAACTTGAAGGTAAAAGTCAGGGGTTGGGGGTATAGCTCAGAGGCACAGTGCCTTGTTTGGCAAGCACAAGGTCTTGAGTTCAATTTCTGGTACTAAACAAAAGAAAAAAAAGAAGGTAAATGTCTAAGGATAGTTGAGGTGCAAAACTCTATGATTCGTGTAAAAAACAGAAAGGTAATGGTTGTAGGCCAACCTATAATCTGAAGGTTCAGAATGGACTTGACTTATTTCATGGTATCATGATATTTAGAAGAAACCTCCATCCTGTGTGTCCTGGATCCTGCTCATGGCCCAGACAAACACTTGGAGGAGCAGCTCCAGGCTGCTGAAAGGCAGAAAACCTCTGTGACCAATGACAGTCTGGAAATTCAAGGACAAATATTTTTCACCTGAGCCATCCAATTACCATGGCATGTGATCAAATTGCCACTTGGGCCTACAGTTCCAATTTCCAGTGTCCCCAACTCTTTACAAGCAAGGGCATTAGCTTCCCATAACAGCTCTAAATAAGATAATTTAATCTTGAAAACAAGTGCTATGAAAATACAGGAAACCACATCTAATTGAAGTTATGAAAACAGGGAAGGGTATGGATGACAACCTGCCCCCGAGTTTCTTATAGCCACATCCCAGGATGTAAATGTGGAGGTGTTTGTAAGCTGAGCGCCCTTAAAACAACCTGGCTTATGGGCAACATCTGGCTATAGATTCAAGGCTGGAAATGAGCAGGGGCTTCCAGGTCCAACTCTGATCCAAACTAACAGAATGACCCTTGACCTGCCTGACAGGAAGAAGGGGGGCCTCATCCTTACTGTAGGGCTATTATACCACATGATACCCTCCAGCCCTAAAACTTGGGCTGCTTGGTAAGCAGAAACCAAAGATACAGCAAAGTAAGAGAACAAAAATAAGAACCTGAAGCCAGGGGTGATGGCACATACCTGAAACCCAACCCTTGAAAGGCTGAGGCAGGAGGATGAAGAATTCAAGGCCAGCCTGAGTTACATAGTGAGTTCAAGGCCAGCCTTGGCTGCACTAGCACCTGCTACAGGGCTACAAGACAAAGGCAAAGCAGGGTGTTAAGTGTCACACAACAGAAGTGAGAGAGACAGGCAGTAGAAAACTGGGACCAGAAGAACGTCTAGATGAATGGCTCACGTAAGCAGCCTTTTTAGCGGGAAGAAGAAAGAACCTGCACAACCCCAGCTCAGCTTTGGCCCCCTGCAGGTGAACGAACATTCACTCAAGACAGATGTCACAATGAGGCACTCCATCTGCAGCCGGGATGGGCTGCAGTCCATCTCCGATACTGCAGGTTCTCTGCTAAATCAATCAAGGGCACAGAATGTGTTTTGTCATCAAGAATCAGGAATGAGAGCGGAGGTCAGGGAAGTCGAGACAACCGGGTGCTTCGCTGAGCTATTGTTTTCCATGCAGGGAGACCAGCCAGCTCCCCTCCTTCCCAGAGAAATCTGTGCTTAGCTTAAAAGAAACCAAAATAGATACAAAGTACTTTGCTTTTGTCTGAGCATTATTACTCTGTTTTTAGCAAAATCCAAGCCACCCTCCTCTGCAGGTCAGATGATCTGTTGACAGGGAAGTGAGAGAGCGGGGGCGCGTCTCAGCCTCACCCTCACCTTCAGTCCAGGCTCCTGGGCAGGGTAAGTCTGCCTCCCTCTCTTCTTCTCATCCCTCTAAAAATACAGTGACATTCATGTATGTGATTTCCACCTTCCTGAGAGTTCTTCCTAATTTATTTTATTTTACCATGAGTGTGTAGATGTTGATATGCAGAAGTAAAGTCCATCAAGTTTTTTTGTTTGTTTGTTTTCCAGTACCTGGAATTGAACTCATGACCTTGCACTTGCCAGGTAGGTGCAGTGCCACTGAGCTAAATTACCAGCCCCCTAGTCCATCCAGTTTTAAAGCGGGGCTACCCACTACATAGTATGGGAATCAGAGTGAGAAGTGCTTCATGCTGGATACACTTCACCCGCTACCCACATTTCTTCCTTCAGAACTGAGTGTTTTCTTCATAGTCTGGTTTCAAAGAGCTAGGGCAAGATAGAGCGAAGAAGGTAATGCATGAAGGCAAGGGAGCAGAAGTGAATCCTTAGCAAAAATTGGACCTGGTTCCACCCTAACCCTCCCATCCTGACGGTTCTTACCCATGGGGGTGTTGGAGAGGGCAGGGAATAGGCTCTCTGGGGAGCTGTGAGCTTGAAGCAAGGAGCTGCAAAAGAAGGTGCCCCAGGCCTGGCTTCCATCCTGGGCATCCTGACTAGGTCTAGGGTCTCATCTCTAAGATGTTGCTAGACCAGACGCCATTGTCCACAGCTCTTAGGAATTCTTTGTGGAGAAAGGACAAAGGCCAGCATCTTTGCCAGTTCATAAATGCCATTAGGTGAAGCTCCTCCCTCCCCAGGACTCTAGAGATGCAGTCGCAAAGACATAGACAGGATCTATGCCCTCACAGACACTGTGTAAAGAAAAAAGAGAAGGTTTTATGATTGAGACTATATTGAGGAAATCCGTTATCCAATAAAAACATCCAAACTGAATTTTTATAACCTTTTATTTTAATAATATTGCCTACAATAAGATTATGCCTTTATGAAAATACAAACAATATAACCAACTGTCTCCTTTTAAACTCATTTGTTATTTTATGTAATATTTACATAGCATCAGTGATTCTTGGGCTCCGTGCTGAACACGAGGTCTTGGGGCAAGGCTCACCCAGTGGTTGTCTACACCATTTACAGGGAGATTAGAGAAATACACCTGTAGGTAAAATACTAAACCTGAACTTGGCATGGTGGCATATACCTGTAAATCCCAGCTACTGAGACTGAGGGAGACTGAAGTAGGAGGATTACAAGTTCAAGTCCAGCTTGGGCAACTTAGTGATTGGGAGGGTTGTTTTGTTTTGCAGTGCTGGGGATGGAACCTAGGGCCTTGCACTTGCTAGCAAACACTCACCACCAAGCTGCACTCCAGCCCCAGGACTAAGTACAAATTCCCACTCTGGTATATTGCCCTGAGACCCTGGGAGAGGAGCTAGACTGTAAAATTTTGACTGAGTACTCTTAATAAGGGGTGGAAGTGTAGCTCAGTGATTTAGTACTTGCCTAGCATGATCAGGGCCCTGGGTTCAATCCCCAGTAGGCCCCCCACACACACACAGGACACCAATCATATTGAATTAAAAGCCGTCCTTGCCAGGCATGGTGACGCATGCCTGTAATCCCAGCACTCAGGAGGCTGAGGCAGGAGGATCACTGAGAGTTATAAACCAGCCTGGGCTACAAAGTGAGCTCAAGGCCAGCCTGAACTGCATATCAAGACCCTGTCTCAAAAAGACAAAAAAAAAAAAAAAAGAACAAGATGTTAAAAAAACAAAAACAAAACACCCTTAATCATCTTATCTTAGGACCAGGAATATAGCTCAGCAGCATAAGTGCCTGCCTGGCAAATGCAAGGTCCTGAGTTTGATTCCTGGTGCCAAAGAAAAAAAAAGGAAATCATCTTAACTTCTATCTTATTTATATATACAAAGACCTAATTTCCAAATAAGGTCTCACATTCACAGGCACCAGGGCTTAGGGCTTGGGCTATGTTTCTAGGAGCTATGACCTGACTCACAACAAATAAAAGATATGGGTTATTTTTGGTTTTGGTTTGGTGGAAGTGTGCTGGGGATGGAACCAGGTCCTTGTGCTTGCTAGGTAAGTGCTTTCCCACTAAGCTATACCCCCAACCCCTTTTTAGCAGTTCCTGAGATACCACCAGATGCTTTCCTAAAGATCATTTCAATTTGCAATCCAACCAGTGTAACAGTCCAATGTTACCCACCTTCCTTACTCTGAGCACCAGTATTTAATTTCTTCCTTAGTTTTATTATCTGGATTTTTGCAAATTGGATAAAGGAACAATAGCATCTTGGTTTTGTTTTGTGACAAACATATTCCTCAGGAAAAAGACTCAGAAAATGCACAAAGAGCTCAGGACTCACATCATCTGTCATGGCTAAAGGAAGGTGAAGTCCGGACAAAGGGCTGGGGATGGAGCACTGGGAAGAAGCATGCCAAGCTTTCCAGCAATAGGGGGTGTTGTGGGGGCAACAAATGGCCATCACATGAGCAGGAGCTTAGGAACAGTAGACTTGCAGTAGTTAGATGCCTGGATCACAGGTTTCCTCTTGCAGAAGGCAAATATCACAAAAGAAAAAGAAAAAAAAAGTAAAGAGGACAAAAATTTCCACATATTTCCCCTAAAATTGATGCTTCTAGCAAGGAGGAAGCCATTGGCTTTCTGCAGACGGCCCAGATGCCAAGGCTGAGTCGTGTCTGGTTTGCCTATCACCACAGCAGGTTGGGACCGATGGCCACAGGGGATGAGCACACCAGCAGGCACCAAGGAAGCCATCAGCAGAGCAGCTCCACAAGGGCATCAACGCCGGGTGCCAGTGCGGTCAGATTGCTGATGCTTAGGCTGGATCCCCGCCCCTATGAATTATGCATGCCAGCTGCCTTACCCTACACCATTCATTCTAAGGTAGATATCTGTCAGCTGGGAAGAAATTTGTAAGTGTAATTTGTATTCTCAATTTTTGTCATAGTTGTGGTCATTATTTCCCCCCCATAACTCTCTGTCCTCCTCCCATATTTTCCCTCCTTCAGTTTTTAATCAGAGGGAGCTGTCAAGAGTGAATTTGAAGTCCTGCCTTCTTCCCTCAGAATGGGCTCCCTCGTGGCGATGAGGACTGGCAAGGAGTGCAGCCTCACATCCCCATGTTTATGTTTACAGTACGTATTTTTATTACCTTTGAGTGAAAGTGATTACTATAGTTATATCCTTTTTATATCAACCTATTCCTTTCATTTATTTTGAGTACAGTTTGAATTTCTACACCTCTTTCTTTTCCTGCTCCTGAAAGAAGTGGGGAGGAACAGCAGGAAGATGAAGATTCTTTTCCCCATGGCAGTGCCCTGGCTGCTTGCACAACATCCCTGCCTTCCTCTTCTGCTGCCATCACTGACTACCCCAGCCGTACTCCCATAAACAATAAAGGTTTATCCAGCTCCTGGTTCTGATGCTGGGAGGTTCATAATGGGGCAGCTGCATCAAGAGCGGTTATTGCTGCTAGTAGGACTCTGCAGAGCCCTTAGGTGGGGCAGGGCATCACTTGGTGATGCAGAGCAAGTGTGATAGCTCGGGGGTCTTTTCCTGTTCTTATAAAGCCACTACTGTCACCATGGAGGCCCACCTTCTGCCCCCTCTAACCTCCCAAAGGCCCCACCCCCAAGTACCATTAACATAGGATCATGGCAATTAAGTTTCCAACACCTGAGTTCTAAGTTTGCTGAGGTGCAGCGAACATGTGAACCACAGAAATCCCCAAAAAGACAGTCACTCTTCTGCTCCCATGGAGTGTATAAAGCATCCCCATCTTCTCCGCCTCTGAAGTAAGTCTGAAGAAGGCTTTTTCAGAGAACCCCACCTATAACCCAAGTAAAATTATAGAAAGAGCATGAAATAGAAACAAGAAGAAAAAGCACCTAGTGGCCAAGCTGAGTTCCACTGGAGTGGAAGTTGGTCTTGTTGTGCACTGTTGGTGATGAAACCCAGGGCCTCATGCATGCTAGGCAAATGCTTCACCACTGAGCCACACCCCAGCCCCTGAGGGTCTTTCTGATAGTAGAGAAGGCCTGGGTTCTAGGAGAACTCAGAAATTTCCAGAAGCAGAAACAGCATCGTCGACCTAAAACTGTCTAATGCTGTCGGCATCATCAAGGGTCAAAGCCCACAAGTTTCCTGCTCAGAGGACGGCCCTGAGCCTCCTCTTCCCTTAGCTTTTCAGTATGGCCACATGGGCATAAGATAGTCCCACAGCACTGGGTCCCTTCTCAGTGGTCACTAGATCCAGTTGGAAGATTGAGTTTCTCAGGAGCCGATTCACCATTCGAAAGACAAGGTGGACCTTACCACCCTCCTTTGTCCCTGACCCCATCCCATCTGTGGCCTGGGGAGGAGGTATTGAGCCATTCCTTTGGCAGAGAGGGCCAGAGTGGGGCCTTCCCAAGGAGACAGGGCCTGCTGCAGTGAAGTTTGCCAACTCACAAGTCCTGCACAGCTAGCAAGTTAATTTTACCTCTGTGTGAGTCTTGGTTTTCTCACCTGTACGTTCATGAAGTGATTGCCCTTAGCATTTGTTGGTGAGAATGCAGTGAGGCAGTGCACAGTAAGAACTTTGTTAAGTGATTCTTTTCAAGTTTGAATCAGATTATGGACCCTTGGGGCTCAAAAACCTCCCATCTCTCTCAGGATGATCCTGGGTGTCTTACCATCACCCCCAAAGCCTATAGGAGCTGACCCTGTTACCTCTCTGACCTTGTTTTCTACCACTGACCCCACCTAGTTGTAGCCACTCAGAGCTCTGTGTCCCTCAAGCCAAGATCCCTCTCACTCCTAAACCTTTGCTGTTGCTCTTCCCACTGCCTGGAATGAGCTTCTCCCAGACACCCCCACACCCATTCTCTCACCTTCTTGAGGTCCCTGCTCATGTCACAACTCAGAAAAACCTTCCCTGACCATCCTCCAAAGAATCACTTTGGCAACCAGGCACAGTGGCACAGGGCTATAACCCAGCTGCTGGGGAGGCTGAGGCAGAAGAATGACTGTGAAATCTAGCCACACTAGGTAATTTAGTTAGACACTGTCTCAAATAACATGAAAAGAACTAGAAGTGTAGATCAGAGGTTGAGCACTTGCCTAGTATTCCTGAGGCTCTAGGTTCAATCTTCAGTACTAAAAAAAAAGATAAAAAGAAAAAGAGAAAGGAAGGAAGGGAAGGAGAGGAAGGGAAAGAGGGATAGAAGAAGAGAGAGGCAGGAAGGGAAAAAGAACTCCTTTGATCCCCTCCATCCCCTCATCCTGCTTTATTTCTCTTTACTGCCTTCATTGTCACTTGGCATATCTCATACTTACTATATATCTGTTCTAGAAAGTAAGCCAGTAAGAATAGGAGCTTGGTGTGTCCTAGTCTGCTATAGTCTTTATGCCTGTCACAAAAGAAAATCAAGTCACCAAGACAATACCCTTAAAAGAAACTTCTAGAACTGGATGGTCCCATGTGTTTGGGAGACACGTGTGCCTCACATGGGGACCCAGTGGTCCATAAACTGTATAGGTTTATGGCTAAAGGAAGTGGAAGAGATTTGACTGGGAGAGTCAGAGAGGCTGGAGAGCTGGCCTGAGCTTCTAACTGTTTGGAGCTAAGAATGGGCAGGTGGATGGAGTGGGCTGTGCTGGAAAAGCTGGGTCTGAGGATCCTGGGGAAAAGCAGGACTAGGTGACAAAGCAGTTGGGACCAAGTGAAAAAGTGGGGCACAGTATTGAGGAACTGTTTGGGAGGGACCAAGGAAGCACAGGTCACAGACATTGGCTGTCCTTTATGGGTCCCTGAAGCAGAGACTGTCCCTTGGAAGGTACCTAGGGCAGGGACTCAAGCTACAGAGGCTGGAAGAGCAACAAGGGCCTCCCCTGATCACCTCAAATTTGTAAGAGGCTCCTTGGGAACAGAGAGCAACGCAAATTGTGATGGTTCACTTTAGGTGTCAGCTTGGCTGGATTAGATAACACCTCAAAGACAGGGAGAATCTGGGAGGGCATTTCCAGGAAGCTGGCATGAGTTGGTGGGCTCAGAGAGGAAGACAGCCCTCAAGACAAGCAACACATCTACTCAGTGGGGATCCTGGAGAAAATAAAAAGGCCCTGGGAAGAATTTACTTTCTCTGTCCTAGAGCTTGAGCACCACTTCTCCCTGTGGACAGAACTCCAGGCTCTCTGGCCTCAGGACTCCAGGACTTGTACTGGCAGTCCGGGGCTTCCTAGGTTTTCAGCCCCAGAGTGGGAGTCACACCGTTGACTTCCCTACTTCCTGTGTCTTTGAACTTATGCTCAGATGCTCTGCAGCCACCTCAGGGCCTCCAGGCTGCAGACTGCCTGTTGTGGGCTTCTCAGCCTCCATAACTACATGACTCCTCTAATACGTATGGATATGTATGTCTATTAATCTTTCTGGGAACCCTACTACACAAATGGAGTTTGCCCCAGGAATTGGAGGTCCTGTGAACACACATGCGCAGGAGGGAGACAAGAAGAAACTGCTGCTGTGTAGGTTGTGAGACTTGTGTGATGTGCGTAGAAGTGGCCATTCAGTCATAGCTGCTCAGCAGCTGTATTACAGTTTGAAAGACATTGTTCCCCCCAAAGTTCATGTTGAAATTGAATCACCAGTGTGATAGTATCAAGAAGAGGGCCCTTGAAGAAATAGTTAAGGACTGATACGTATTTTGTTCGTGATTTTCGCCCATGGTTCCTGGCTCTTGACTTCCTGCCCAGAACAGGCGGTAGAAACTGGAAGTTCTCTTTCTCAAAGCAAATCAGAGAATTGCTAGCCTTCCTCTGCCTTTAGTTAAAACCAAACAACAATTCTCTGACCTACCTTTTCCAATAGGTCAACTAGTGAGACACCTCCCCCTCCATTCTAGAGGGGTCCTGCCCATGCCCTGCAGGGAGGAATGCTTCCCAGAGAGGCCAAGAATGCTGGACAGACAGACCTGGCTGGGCTTCCCACCTGGTCTATCAGCATAAGATATGCAACGTGATCTCCAGAAACACCCAGAAGGACAGAGGACAGGGTGCCAGAGCTTCTGGACAGCTGAGTCCATGGAGGTCTCAATGGTGCCTGGAGAAGGCAGAGAAGCTCTGCCCTTCCCACAGGCCACACCGGAAGCACTTTTCATCTGTATCCTTTGTGTTGTCCTTTATATTGTCCTGGTGTGTGCCCCTGAGTCCTGTGGCTGCTCAAGCAAGTTGTACCGTATCACGAGATATGACTGAAAAATACAGTGAATGTTAAAACTTGTTTTTTATTATAGTAAAAAACATTGCCATGAATCCCCTTAAAATATTCTCCCTCTCTTTGAACACATGTATACGTTGTTCTTGCCACTTTCTGTAGCAGTTCTGGAAGTCTTTCATGGCCTTAAGTGACGTGATAAAAACGTGGTGAATGCTGCTGCTGGTGCCACTTTAATGGAAAGATAGGCATGTAAAAACATTCTAGTGTGTCCTCATCCACCTTATTTACTGGCTCCAGCACCATGGGACTTCTACTTCTTCCCCAAAGTCAGAATGACCATCACAGGGAAATGTTTTGAATAACTCAGACCAGCCATAACAGCTCATCTAACAGTACTCATGAAAGAAGACTTTCAGAACTGCTTCAGAAAGTGGCAAGAAGGATGGGATATGTGTGTTCAAAGCAAGGGGAAGGATTTTGAGGGGGATTAAGGGCAATGCATCTTTCACCATAATAAATCTGTTAACTTAAATATTCACCATATACTTCAGCCATACTATACCCAATTGGCCAGAAGCACAATGAAATCAATCACCCGAGTCTGCATGGCTGGCTTCTGGGGGTGGTACTCTTGGGGACTGAGCTCTCCACCTGTGCAATCTGATGCTGCCTCCAGGCTAACAGTGACAGCACTGAATTGGATCAGAGAACACCAGCATCAAAACTATGAGAAATAGATTTCTACTCTTTATACACTACCAAGCCTCAGCACCAGTGGGTCAAAGATACCACGTGTCACACACAACTTATGCCACCATTCTCAGCCTCAGCACTACTGACATTTTGAGCAAATGATTCCTTTTTTTTAATTTATAATTTAGCACTTTTTAAAATTTGGTAAAATATATGTAACATAAAATTTACCATTTTAACCATTTTTAATGCATTAAGTTCAGTAGCATTAAGTACATTCACACTGTTGCACGCCCATCCCGGTGATGTATCTGCAGAACTCCTTCATCGTCCCAAACTGAAACTTTGTCCACGTTAGATAATTCCTCCCACGTTTTCCTGAGCCCCTCGCAATGTTCATCCACTGACTATGAATTCAACTATTCTGGGGATCTCATGTAGGTGCAATGGTACAACATGTGTCCTTTGGCTTATTCTACCTGTTTTCAAGTTTCCTCCATACTACAGCATTGTTCTCACCTATTTTG